TTTCAGTTCATAACTAACGGAGATGTAAAAGCGATCGAACATTTTAAAACAAAGTTATCGTTCACACGGACAGATAGATGGACAGACAGACAAAGGAACAGACGGAGAGACCAACCGGCAGGCGACAGATAGCAATGCAAATTTATAAACGATCTCTAGGATCGTTAATAAACGGCAAAAGTGTAAAATTATGGAACATGTAAAAAACGGTTTTTTGTTTTTTTTACAATAACTTTTTTTGTAAGCGGTACAGAAAAATTCCTTCCTTGGTACAAGACTCGACACCATAACGAACCAAATAGCGAAAAAAGTAGAACAATAGCTCTTAAGATAAAGAACTAGTAGCGTCGCAAAGTTAGCGAACGGACGGACGGACGGACGGACAAAGTGGCCACAATAGCGCATTTTTTTTTTTTTTTTGTGCATTTTTTTTTTATTTTTGTAGAAATGCGCTAAAAATACTGTAAGAAACAAGTGTATACCTAATTGGTCCTTAGCACTTGCAACGTTTAAAGGCACAAGATTCCAAAAATTTCGGCAGCTTTTTTTGACTCCATTAACTTAGCCTCACTATTGTATATTTCCGTCTAAAGAGAAAATGCGCTAAAATTTAAATAGCTAGCGCCACTCGTAATGCAACAAATTCTATCAAATGAGCCTAATAAAAAGGTGCACTGTCATTTAAAAAAAATCAATTGTTTTTCGTTTTCTGAAATAAAAACAACTGAATGCTGCCTTATTACGGGAAATTAAATGTTAAACAGCTTTCATATAGAAAAATTTTGTATACATTCGATATTTACCGAGATATACAGGGTGATTCCTATAGTACCTGCCACCGTTTGGGAGCGTGTAGGTGGTGCGTAGGGGAGTATTTTGATATAGGACACTTGGGGTCGGAAATCTAAAATAAGGGTGCCAGAGCCAAATTTACCTTCTGGAATTTCGCGCCTATAGGTAGGCAACCCAACCGGCCGGCGGTGCACACGGAGCGATTTCAGGCGGCGATGTGTGGCTGACACTTGATCAGAATTTTGTTTAAACCCACGAAATCCCGTCTGCAACGACGCGTATCAAGTGAATAAACACTATGGCACGTTTTACTAACACGGAATACGCGGACATGCACTTCATGTACGGATTGGCAAATGGTAACGCACGAGCTGCACGACGAGCGTACGCTGAGCGGTATCCAAACCGTCAGTTACCCTGCAGACAGGTCTTTCAAGAATTTCACTTCCGACTGTGCGAGACAGGGCAATTGCAGGTAAGCTGACGGAGGCTTAACTTTACACACAGATTCGTGATGCACATCGATACTTTGGTCATTTAAGCACCCATTTCGAAAAGTTTGTTTGTTTACACCGACCTCCTCCTATTTCGCAGCCCACTAGCGCCCGTGATCGCGATCGCCCGTTGGTAAATGCCTTAGAGGAGGATGTGTTGGAACGTTTCGAGGCAAACCCGCGTACTAGCATTCCGTGTTAGTAAAACGTGCCATAGTGTTTATTCACTTCATACGCGTCGTTGCAGACGGGATTTCGTGGGTTTAAACAAAATTCTGATCAAGTGTCAGCCACACATCGCCGCCTGAGATCGCTCCGTGTGCACCGCCGGCCGGTTGGGTTGCCTACCTACAGGCGCGAAATTCCAGAAGGTAAATTTGGCTCTGGCGCCCTTATTTTAGATTTCCGACCCCAAGTGTCCTATATCAAAATACTCCCCTAGGCACCCCCTATACGCTCCCAAACGGTGGCAGGTACTATAGGAATCACCCTGTATACTGTATTCCATACATAGGTAATGGGCAACCTGTTTGGGTATAGGTACTCTGGTAGGTACAATAGGCCTAGTGTTTTAATTTTAGACTTACTTCAGGGAACAACGATTTTCTTCATTGTCTAAAAGTTTCCACAATTTCCCTTAATTTCCCCAATATGTCTATCCTCGTATCTAGCATTGCCTTAAATTTCCCCAAATTCACACAACATTTTTGCGAATTAGCGTCAATTGAATAACGTTACTTCCCTACAAAAACCTTTTGTTTCCATAAAATTTCCTTTAGATTTCCCCAGAATTTCCGCATTCCTTTGAAATTTCGTTTTATTTCCCCAAATTTTTCTAATATTTCCTCTAATTTCGTCCATTTCCTACTATTTCCTCGAAATTTCCTATATGAAGGATAAGAATTTCCATCGTGATCAAGCCGTCGAACACTCATTTTTTAATTATCTTATTTTTTGCCCATTTTTCCAAATGTGAGTGGATGGTGTGTGTGCTCATTGAGTTTTATAGTTTTCTTTATTTTTTTACTTTTAAAATTTGACTTAATTTTATGTTTTTCTACAGATACCAAACTTCTTCGGCAGGTAAATAAGATTTGAAAATAGAAAGAAACTTTTCAACATTAGGTACTAACACCTCTACTCTAACCTCATTTTTCTGAATTTTTAGGAATTTTTAATTATGTATCTTCGTTTTTATACGTAGTTTTCCGAATTTTGCATTCTTTTTTTTTCTTGAATTTTTCTGTTGACTAAGATTTATAATTTGTTTTGTTTTTTATTTTTCAAAGTTTTTTTTAATTTTCTTTTTTTGTACAGACATCGAATTTTTTCCTCGGGAAAAAAAAATTTGTAAATACAAAAGATTTTTTCGGAAGAACAAAATTTTTAAAAATCACCAACACCCCTACCCTAATCTCATTTTTCAGTTTTTATGGATTTTTATCATCGTTATTTTGGCGCATTTTTTCCGAATTTTTGCGAATTACACTAAATTTTCTAATTGTATGTTGTAATGGGGCTTGTGCACTGCCATTGTTTTTCGTTACTCATTTGTTTTCTGAAATACAAACAACCGAAATGCTGCCTTATTATGGGAAATAAAACATTCGATATTTACCGAGATTTATATTCCACACATAATGGGTAACATGTATAGATGTAGGTACTCGGGTAGGTACAATAGACCTAGTGTTTTAATGCTTACCTATCCGAGCGAGTACCCGAGTAAACGAGTAAATACAATAACTCAAAAAATGA